TGTCACTGGATTGCACACAAGAATGATTGCCAGTCTTCTGTTAGATGTCGGGGTCTGACCTCGACATAGTTGTGTTGTTCACGAGGGTTTGGTTCACGAGGAGGGGAGATCCAGTGGCGATAGGGATAGCGAAAGAATACACAGACAAACAGAAGAAGGGAGACAATGAGGCACCCCAAAGCCAGGGTGGATACATCACTGGTGGGCAGGCTTGGGAGTACAGGCATCGTGGCCTCTGCAGGCAGCGACTCACTGCCCTGCAATCTTTACTGCATGCCTTCCAACCGGTAATGCACACCTGGAGAGGCCCGGGGCTCTGCTTTATTCAGGGGAGGAGCTTCACATCAAGCTGGGAGGGACCAAAACAGGATACAGCTAACATCAGTACTTTTCCAGACATTCAGGTAACTTTACATCATACTTCGCTGGTTCAAATCCCAGGCTAGCAACTTGGATTCTCAGGCCCAATTAACATATCTATAGCCCCTGAGCTCAGGTGGGGGAAGGTGAAAGATAAGGATGAATGGGCTGCACCTAGAAAAGGATTAGGGAGGATGGGTTTTTTTGTCTATAGAACAAAGAACTGTGAAGTAACTAAGATGTTTTTAGTTAATCCTTTGGAGAAAGGCTTGACCTTGCAACCTTTAGTCTTAGCTTTAGGAAAACATCACATTTATCTGTGGATTACCAGGAGCTCCATGTATTAAATTAATACATGTAATAATATTAAGATGAAAAACAATTTGCCATTAACTGCCAGTGGCCTCATTTGTTACACTCAGGCCTATAGGGCCTCGAACCTCTGACCAGTCTTACACGGTCCACAACAGTTAGACTTGTCTTAACCCCAATGAAACAACAGCCGTGATGGAGTACCCAGGCCTGTGTTGTGAGGACTTCATCCTCCCCAACTGTTCCCACCCGTGGGAGGTGGAGTGCATGGAAGAGCTTCAGTCACAGAGAAGAAACCAGGGCACAGGCAACATTCTAGATGAAACAACAAGAGCGTGGTGAGGCTGCAGTGCAGACTGGCCTGGCTCCGCCTTCCACACCTCTGGTGGGAGAACCTCGCCAGAGTCCATAGAACCCTAGACCGGCAGGCTAGGTGAGGCTGCAGGTGATGCGTGTGGAAAGATACCCTGGTGGGAAGGGTGGCGGCAGCGGTTCGTAGCAGGAGAGCGGGTTCTTCTAACCAGAGCAGGGTAATGGACACAGGCCATGCGGAGACACTCTGCCCAGATCCCGCGCCAAGGACAAAGGACACACAACTACACAAGACATCACCCAACCATACTCATTAGCTGCTGAGTTCCTCTAGAGCTTAGGGAAAAGTACACTCCTGTTGGTTCAGTGAGAAACAGCTGTATGTATCGGAGCTCAAAATATTACATCCTAAACCAGTGGCATTTTCTTTAAAGCTGTGTTTGAAAAAGTGCACACATTCATTTCTTGAGTAGCTGTGTTTCTCTCTGAGTCCCAAACTCAGATAGATTAAGAATGAATTTTGAGAGTTCAGCAAGACTAGAACTGGACATCAATCACCCTACTAGTGGAAAATGAATCACTGGAAATCTCCCCACACTTGAACATGACTCATTTGTGCCTCATCCGACAGCTCTGTGCACCATGTGAATTTCTAGTTTTTCCAACTAATCGGTGGCAGTCCCCAGCATTTTCATTGCTGTAACATCTCCAGTGGCCTGTGAGGTGGTTGAAGGAGCCATTTGGGGTGTAGAGAGAGTCACAGTGACTTTGCGCCTCCATGTGTTCAAGAGGAGAGGAGGTGGGGCAGAGGGAATGGGTCCCCTCCTGGAATTCTTCCCCAGTGCCCAGAGTCTGTCCACCTGTCCATCTGCCCAGCCATCTGTCCATCCCCTCACTGGGTGAATTGCCTACTGCTTGCCCTGATTTTAGGTGGAACCCCAGGACAAAGGCTCTGGCCTCCCTTGTCAGCCAGTTCCAGTCCCTGAGGGGCTGGCTGTGCAGGGGCCCAGTGGCAGCACCAGGCGTTCACGTGCTTGGCCTTTGCCATCGGGGTGGGTTTGAGTAGATTGACGAGGTCCCCCCAAAGTAAGACGTCTTTCCTTCTGAGTCTGGGGTTCTAGTCAAGAAGAGCTCCTCTCCACTCAATCCTTTGGAGTGTCTGGAAGTCTCCAGGATCCATCGTTGTTAGGAAGGCTGTGTTGAGGAGGAGGGTTTGTCCTTGTATTGTAGAGAACAGAGAATCTCTTGAGTGGGCAGAGGCAGACGCTGGATCTGCTTGTGAGTGAGAAATCCTGGGACAGCGAGGGCCCCTGGTTAAAGTTACGGCTGTGTGTCACCGTCCTGCACCCCGGCTAGTGGTCCGAGTCCAGCAAAGCAGCTCAGTCTGGCTGTGGGCGGCTCCACCTGCCCCTGACCGCCTCTGGGCCTCCTTCCCAGGAAGGCCGACCTCTCCTGGGTGGGAAGAACTTTCTCACGGCCCAGAATCGCGGGGGCTCCTCTGTACTCGGGTAGGTCCATAGAAGATCCTTGGGTGGTCCACTGGGTTTTGAGACTCTGGTGGATGCTGGAGGTTCCACTAGAGAGGGTGGTGCTCTGGTGTGCGTAGTCTTTTTGTTCATTAGGAGAAAGTCTTGCTAAATCACCAGGAGGCCTTTGGCTGCAGACATGAAGAAAATGTACTCCTTTCTGATTTTGAAAATACCCTTTTCCTCCAAGCCTGATTCTCTTCCTTCAGGTGGGTTGCAGTTTTGCCAAATCCAGAGTCCACGGCTCCAGTTACTTCAGGGTCTGTCTCCATCTCTGTGGCCTGCACACCCTACATCTCACTCTTGAAAATTCAGAACTGAAAGGGTTTTGCCCAAACCGTTTACACACAGGACGGAGCAGCTCCTAGCCTTAGCGTTACTCACTCTGAGATCCTTGGAATGAACAACCTACCATGTATTTAGCTGTGAGCTTTGACTGACCCACTGGCCGTTCTAAGGAACTGGGGTTTTAGGCCTTCAGACGTTGGCTAACTCAAACTGGTTTACCATAGTGGGGGCTACACTTTAGAAGGTCACAGAATGAGGGGCAAGGGCAAAGTTGAAACTGAGAGAAGCAAAACGTTCTCTGGTATTATTAGTCTGCCAGTAAATTCCTTTATCGTAGACCAGTTTTCGTGTGTAGACAGGACCACTGGTAATCAGCTGCTTGGAGCATCACAGTTACCTTATAGCACTTGTTCATTTTATTTTGGTCATTGACTTTGTTACAGTCAATGTTAAAGATGCACAGAATTAGTGACTAGGACTGTGAGCCTCACACCTGTCACTCTTCTCAGCGTGTGAGCATTCTCTCGGGCTCCCTTCTGGTTGTTCCATTTCCGTTTATCTAGTTTCCCTGCCCTCTTACCCTTTGACCTCTGTTTTAAAGTCATCATATAGATGATGTGGAGCAGAGTGCTCATGGGTAACAGTCTTTATGTTGTGAACTTAAGTGTCATTTCGCTAAAAGGTGACTTCAAAGTAAATAAAAGTCACCGCAGGGACTAGTTTGGTCAAGGGCTGCAGTGTTTGTTGGGGCAAGAGTCTCTGAGTCCTTCAGCCGTAACTGGTCCAGTATGTGTGGGATTTGTTTCTTGTTTTAGGAATTTGATGTCCTGTTCCATATTTGCTCCCATTCTGTTGGGTCTATCAGTCAGGCCTTGAGTAGAACCATCAGTAATGGCCATGTAGACTGCTTGTCTGCTAGACCAGTGTCTTCTCTGAGTCTGGGCTCCTTCTTTCTTTTTGCTCTGGACACGTGGAGACCAGCAGACACATCCTAGATGGCTGCGTGCAAGCTTTTTAGACTCCAGACACTGCTTACCACACTAAATGTGGAACACAACTGTATGAACTACATGCCTCATGTCCGTTAATCAAGTTGTCCCACAAGACTACGGTCCTACTCCCTCAAGTATACACACACACATACACACACATATATTGTTGTTTAGTGCTGTCGAGTCAGTTCTGGCCCATAACGACCCTCTATAGGGTTTCTGGGGAGTGGCTGGTGAGCTTGAACTGCTGACCTTGTAGTTCAAACCAACTTTGCAGTCCAGTGCATTAACCTGCAGTGCCACACCAGGACTCCTTACATATATATATATATCAATACACTGGACTGCTAACTGCAAGGTCGGCGGTTCAAACCCATCAACTGCTCTTAGAAACCCTGGGAGGGGAGTCACTCTGAGTTGGAATCGACTCAGTGGCACTTAACAACAACAACAATTCCTCACTTATCGACTGTGTCTCTCTGAAAATTTGCATTTATGACAATAGTAAAAAATCTACTGTCTGACTGTTACACAGTAGTGGTGCTTGGGTGGCAGACCACCCAATTGGTTGAGCATTAATGCCTTTCCCATCCCCCGGGCTGGTGTAAAAGTAATGAAGGAACCCCCAGATCTTCCCCTTCAGGCCTGGCAGGCGTCATGCTGACCTGACTTATACCTAATTGTATTCTCATTGCTCAAGGCAGTGGGTCATCCGAAGCCATCTCTCTGTGGGGACCTCAGGAAGCCCCATTTTGGCCCTGCTGTCTGTAGGCGCTGGGTCCCAGAGGTGGGGGAGGTTGCTTGTCCAGTGCACCCTACCACCGCTGGTTTCTAGGAGACGTCTGGGGTGTAAGTTTGTGTGAGACTTGCCTTCTCGGGGATCAACCACTTTGACGTTAGAAGGCTCTTCAGATGTTCAGGTATTGTCTTCTGAGGGAGGGTCAGTGATTTATGTGCGCACATCATGAAGGATGAAGTGTTTTAAGATGGTCTTTGGGAGATGTTTCCATTGTATTCGGAGGAGCCCCGGCCCTTTCCTCCTCGTGGCTCGGCTGGGGGTTTACATCACTCCATTTCAGCTGTTGTGTCAGGGCATTGTTCTACTGGACTGCAGGATGGGGTGGGCTGGACGGCGGGCTGGATGGCGTTGAGGACGCACGGCGGGAAGGCTGTGGAGAGGTAACCTTTGATGCATCTCTGTCTCCTCCAGCCCGTCCCTGCCTGCCCTCGACTGGCAGCTGCCGCCTCACTCAGGACCCTACGAGCTTCGCATCGAAGTACAACCCAAGTCTCACCACAGGGCCCACTACGAGACGGAAGGGAGCCGGGGGGCTGTGAAGGCGTCGGCTGGAGGACACCCCATTGTGCAGGTACCCACAGTCCCCACGCCAGCGTGCTGCGGGGAAATGGCGAGCCATGGCTTGCGTTCCTCTTGGCTCGGTGACCGTCTCCCAGCCTGTGGGATCACATACACATATGTGTTTTCAGGCCAGCGTCTGTGCCCCACGTGTGCTGACCCGACTGCCAATGCCTCAGACTTTGTGTAGAAACAAGTGATGCCGCACTGTGGCAGAGCGGATCTGGGGGCTGGTCAGAGGGAGCATGGTGTGGCCACTAAGTCTTGGTCCAGCTCTTGGTTCTAAGTGACTGTTAACAGAGTAGACCCTAACTTCTGGCACCGTGTGTCAGAACCAGAGTTTCCATGGCTGTGACCTCTTAGGAACTGATCACCAGACCTGTTTTCCAAGACACCTCTGGGTGGACTCGAACATGTAACCTTTCAGCTAGCTACAGCAAAGTGCATTGACTGTTTGCATCGCCCAGGTGGCCGGGTGCTTGACCGTTGCTGGCTTGTGTTTATTGGCTGAGGCTCAGTTGCAACAGGCCAGGCCTTTGGTCTTGCTCAGTCTGGGGAGATGTGGATTTTCATGCCCTGGGTCCTTCCTAAGCAGTTGTCGTTAATTCAGAAAAGAAGGGAGGGAAGGCAAAGGAGAACTGAAGAGAGGCAGTCTGGGCTATCAGGGGAATCCAACCCCAAATGGTGGCCATGGGGACAGCGTGGGGGTGGTGACCTCTGACCCCATCTCCTTGGACACAGTGAGCTTACTCTCCCGGGGATGTCAGCTGGAGAATGAGGTAAATGTGGCCTCTAACAATCGTCCCTCAAATTTCTACCCCAGCTTCCTTGGGTCCTGCCCTTGTGAGTCTCAGGGAGAGATAGCCACAGAAAAGGGGCAGGGTGTAGTTTGGGCTGACTGTCCTCCCTAGACTTCAAGGACAAGACTCTGATTCCATCTCCCTGCCCTAGGAACACATTGGAAACCACAGGGTCCACCTGGGTTTCTAGTGAGAACGCACCCCCGATGACCGTGTGAGGGGGAAGGCTAGCAGGCCCTGCCCCGCACCAGGTACTCCCGGCTCTGGCCGGGACAATCGTGGGAACACCCCAGCTTGAGTCTCCTTCTGTCGTGCCTTTTATGTGTGGCTTTGACTCTCTCCTCCCTTGTCATTCCCACCCCAGCCGTGCTAGGGACGAGTCTGGTGGTCTGCTGTGGAAACATACAGCTCTGACCTGCCTGTTAGTTAGGGAGCTAGGCAGGGGCTCAGCATACTTTCCTTTCAACCCATTTTGAGAAATAGAAAGACTGCTGGGAAGAGAGGCACCGGGACAAAGGCCCAAATCAGAGACGCGGAGGTGGCAGGGACAGGCAGAGAGCGGAGCACTTGAGCGAGCATTTGTGGCAAGTGTGATGGCAGGGCCATAATGCCTCCGGGGTTAGCTGCTTGGTGCAGGGGGTGTGGACGAAGGTATATGTGTGCATAGTGGCCAGGGCCATTTTAAGTGCCACCTTCCCAGGTGGAAAAGGTCAGCTAATGCCAGCGTTTAGCAAAATAACTGCAGCACTTACCTCCCCTTGTGGGTGTGGCTCTCCTGGAACAAGCTGTTTTGTTGCTGGTTGTGGGAAGATAATAAAAAGGAGAGGAACTACAACTGCTGGACAAGGGGGGACACAGCGGCCGGGTAATCACAGCTGAGGGGTGCACAGTGTTTCGGGTGAGTCACATCAGTGGGGGGCTGAGGTCCCAGAGGAGGGCGACATGGGGTGTCCAACCCCTTTTATCAAACAAATGCAGATGGAGGGTAACTGAGGGGGCGGTGCGTTCCGTTGCTGCTGTCTTGAAGGAGGAAACTCAGGCACCATGGAGGTACTGTTGTTGGATCAGCTCCGATCTTAGTGCCACAGGACCAAACATTGCCCAGGCCTCAGCATCTTCACGACTGTTGGTCTGCCCCAGCCTGATGTTGGGTCACTGTGTATTCAGTGAGCCTTCCAACCGAAGGCGTCCATCTTCCGACTGTACGCCATCGGTGTTCTATGTGACTGGTTTTCCGAAGGAAACAAGTCAGCCCTTTCCTTCCTAGTCTGCCTTCATCTGGAAGCTCCACTGAAATGTGTCCACAGGGCTGGTCAGTGTCACAGTGACGTGCCACAAACTGACAGGTGGGGTGGGGTGAGTTTTCAGGACCTCTTACAATGCAGTTTGTCCCACCATCTTGTGTTGGGAGGCAGGTGACTGGAGATTCAGCTGTGTGGCTCCTGGCTTCACCTCCCCGGGAGCACGTTGTAGAATCGGTTCCCATTTCCCGGTCCCAAGTTCCCGGGGCACAGGGCGGCACTGACGCACTAGTGTAACAATGTAGGTGTGTAACTGAAGCATTCAGGGAATTTGGAAACCTGAAGCCGCCATTTAAACTAGCTAAAAAGTGTACCCTCCACATTCACCTCAGAATGGGTGCCCTTGCAATTTCAGTGGTAAGAGAAAGTGGTCCCCTGGGTAGGATCAGAGTTTCTCGTCTATCAGATGTTAGTCATTTAAAGAACATATTGATGAATCTGTCGCAAAGCAAATGACGTATACACAAGTGTGAAGTAAGCGATTAACAAGAGTTTGAGGGGAGACTGGCTTCCTTTTTCAGTGGGTGGACCACAAATTGGATAAAAATAGAATTTGCACATAAGCGTAGAACAAATGAAAACAGAAAATGCTCTTGGTAGGTGTCAAAACTTGGTAACCACAAAGTTGTATTCGGTGCTGTTATCTCAGCCTCGCAGCCCCCCCTCCCCCCCTTTACAGAAATACCCACAGTACAGTCAACCCTAGGACTGTGTTGTGGTCAGCTGGTCATTGTCGGCCAGGCTTTTCCTTTGCCCTTTGGAGTCTCTGTTTCACTATGGAACCACGGTCTTCACTGGCTGGACAACGTTGTTCTTTCTGGTAGATCAGCCAGCCCACTTCCTTCGCCCCTGTGCCTAGGCCCCATGTGTGTGACTTTCACCCAGGGATGCTCCCTGGGGCAGGCGGTGGTGGGCTCCCCTCAGAGTCCTGGCTGCTCCTCCTTTTCTTAGAATTATAGTTTATTTTTGTTAAAGATTTACGGCCTCGGATACCTGTTAGGGTCACGATGATTCGGAGTCAGCTCCATTGCCAATACCACCACCAATGTTAGAACATCTGCAGCAGAACACATACCAACCCAGTCTCTATGCGTACAATTCAGTGACATGGTGACAGTCTTCTAGTCATGCCACCCTTCTCACCCCCGTTTCTGAGCTCTATCTCCCTCGTTAACATAAACTTACTGCCCCCTAAGTTTCCTGTCTAATGATGGTTTGTTGTTTCTACTTGTGGTTTGGGTGAAAATTTAGAGAGCAAGTTAGTTTTCCATCTAACAGTCTATACACATGTTGTTTCGTGCCATTACTTGCAGTCCCTCAGTGCGACAACGTCTTCCCACTTCCTCTCTGGGTTCCTGTTTCCATTTGTCCTTCTTTCCTGCCCCTTCCTGCATGCTGAGCTTTGTTTTCGGCAGATGCTGCCCTTGTGGTCCTTTTTTGTGGGTGTTCTTAATCACGTTATAGGTCTAGCTGTTGTTTAACTGAAAGTTGGTTTCTGGGGGTAGGTGCAGTTCCAGCCTTGAAGGGTGTCCAAGGACCACAGTCCTGGGGTTCTACCAGTCTCTAGCAAACCAGGAAAATCTGGTCTTTTTTATGATTTTGAGTTTTGTTCCACATTTTCCTTCCACTCTTACCCAGGTTTTATGGTGATCCCTTTCAGAGTGGTCAGCAGTGGAAGCCGGGCACCACCTAATTCTTCTCTCCTGAGGTTTGTGTGGTCCATTAGTCCTCAGGACTGATTATATTATCCTTGAGATCGATGTTCTTCACTCTTCTTTGCTCCAGATGAAGTGAAACCAAGACTTGGTATCTTAGATGGCCTCGTGCAAGTTTCAAAGACCCCCATCACTGCTCGCTGAATTAGGATGTAGAACATTGTCTTACTGGACTATGTTATGCCAGTTGACCGAGGTATCTTCGAGAAGGTGGTCTTGAACCCCCAGACCCAGCAACTCATTCATTCAAGGTGTTTGGCTATGGCTGAGAAGTTTTCAGAACTTTGCTCCTATATTTTGACAATATCCTTAGATGTATTTACAACCCATACAAATGCATAAGTAGAAAGAACTAGCCCCCTGCCAAAGCGACACATACTCCTGGGGGTGTGCCCCATTCACCTTCCCACACCTGTGGTTTGTTATCACTACTGCAGGACTACGTGTGTGGCAGTGTTTGCCTTGGTTGTCTTACTCCGTGCACCTCCCAGGGTCATCCTCAGCCTTGGTCCTGCTATGGTGGCCCCCGCCCCTTCAGCCAAGTCAATACCTGTCTCCTGTTGGTGATCCCCCTTCCTACTCCCCACCCCTGGTAACTCTCCAAGAATGTTTCTTTCTGTCTGTAAACCGTTCCTTGACTTTTTGGTTACGAGTGATCTCATACAGTATTGGTCTTGTGACGTATTTCACTCAGTATTATATCCTCCGGGTTCATCCGTGTTATAAGCTGTTTTGCAGACCGATTCTTATTCTTTTATGTTGTGTGTGTTTACCACTGATCCGATGATGGGCACTTAGGTTGTTTCCGTCTTTTTGTTTTTGTGAAGGATGCTCCTGTGAACATGGGTGTGAATGCATCAGCTCATATTTCTCCAGGTTCTACACCTGGTAATGGGATTGCTGGATCATAGGCTATTTCTGTTGTTGTTGTTAAGTGCCGTCGAGTCGGTTCCGACCCATAGCGACCCTGTACAGGGTTTCCGAGGGTGTAAATCCTTACGGGAGTAGAAAGCCTCATCTTTCTCCCGCGGAGCAGCTGGTAGTTTCAAACCGCTGACCTTAAGGTTCGCAGCCCGATTCGTAACCACTACGCTACCAGAGCTCCTTAGGCTATTTCTAGTCCCAGCTTTTTAAGTAAGTGCCACGCCATTTTCCATAGTGGTTTCACCATCCCACCAGCAGTGTAGGAGGGTTCTC